TTTGGAAGATATTGTAAATTCAGACTGGAGGAAAGATATCGGCCGCCCATATATATGTTCAAGGGCATTAATTATGAAAAAATAGTTTTTTTTTTAAATATAACTACTATTATTGTGGAAAAACCTAACGATATTTTTACTTATAATGATTAATAAGAAACGGGTATACATTGTATTATTGTTAGTACAAAAAGTATATGATTTTTTTTATAATTCACAAAAATTATTGTGTTTTCTGTATATTTCCGCGTTTTTCTATGATATCTCTATATGTTTATTAATTATTAACCATAAGATGATTGCATAATTTGTACTGTAATTTACTAAATATAGTTACAATTGTATTTTATACTGTTAAAATTAATTGATACCCTCATTTCCAAACCCCTCACAAGTTAGTAAATACTGTATTAAGACTTTGTTAAAAAATTTGTTTTATTTGTAATTTTCATAAATAGTATTTAGGTTAATTAAAATTAATCTAACTTAAATATAACTTATGGTAAATGTCATAACAATATTGTAAATAAAATAATAATTTATATACAAATATAACGGTTATTATAATTAATATTTATGATGGTATCGGAGATATGGTTTGTTGAGAATCACCCATCGGTTCCATAGGAGCAGGCGATATGTCAAACACCTCCTGGAGAAGAGGTGTGACGAGTGATGATTGCATGGCGTGTCTCCTCTGGATCTCTCTCATGAGGTTTATGTCCGATAAGACATTCATGAGTCTCAAGAATCGGGTCTTTGCCTCACATTCTGTTTGATATTTCAGTATTAAATAGCGTTGAAGTAAATACATGTATACGTGTTGTTGCCGTCTATCGTATGAATGAATAAAGCAATTAATAAATTACCAAAAATAATCTATAAATAATAGTAAACGTCAATTACTTAACACCGTCTCTGTTGATAAGGTTTGGACGATCAGGGTTAAACAATATTAGTGCCAGCATCTATATTAATTAACCATATCAGCAAATTAAATTAATTTATATATAGTAAATGTATATATTTATGTATGACTAACCAAATCAAGAATAACAGGGTCAGAATCCCAGAGGTCTGTCATTTTATGCAGGTATCTCATATATGTATCGTAACTATCGTATGGCCGAAATAATTTCAAATGAGCGAGTTTAAATACCAGAGAATTCTCACCATCCTAAAAGTAACAAAAAATAGTTAAAAAATTAATTATACATCTTAATTACACAATCAAATGCAAACTCACCCAGGGCAATATCACCAACTTTCTGCCATAATCAACATGTTTAATTGTTCGCATCAATATGGCTTCAATGCAGCCATACTTAAGTAGAGTGATCTGATCGTCGAGGTATAGAGCCCTAAACCCACACAACTCTTTGGCAGCTCTGGCCATATTACGGACCCCGCGGTCAAATTTGTAGCTAACGGTGCGATTATAATCATCAAAATTTTTAATCTCCATAGTAACCTTGCTCCTTGGCTGGCCGATCAGTTTGACCGAGTTGATTAGTTCATTCATCAGGTAGGTCTCGGTGTCGTTGAACGGGCAGTGATACTCGCCGACCGGTCGGGCGATCGGTATGACTGCCAATTCAAACTCGACGGCCATTTGCATCACTTCATCACTAATTTCTGTGTTATCATTGGTTTTGGCAATGATTTCCATCTGCGATGTTGTGGTGTTGTTGTGGACGACATCACCGGTGCTGACACCGCACTCGATGTCCAAAATCTGTTTGTTAAGCTCATCGACACTGAAGTGGTTGTCGTCGAGCAAATCGTACAGACAATCATTGATGTCCGGCGACGGGTCCGGCGGTTCGCACGACTGATCCGATGATAAATTATCTGTTATGTCATTATTCTTGGGATTAGCCCTAAAGTGCTTCACTCGTCGCCAATCCTTTTCCACTTCATTTACGATGAAATCCTTAAAATATATTAAAATTTATAAAATAATTTAATATTAAAATAACAATTAATTTATTGAATACCCGTCTCATCCCAATTGCCAGACATTTCTCTAACCGACACTTCGAGCAAAACTTTCGCGTAATTTCATTGATCTTACAGTTGGAGTTGAAGTGACATTTGAGCTATGATTTCAAAAATTAATTGACATTATAATTATGCACTCATTGCAAAAATTCACACAAAAAAGTAACCAAAAATTTTATAAAACATAATAAAACATATATTACATTGTCTTTCAATCCGTTACGTCTGAAGAAGGCTTTGCAGGGCTCACATGATAGGGCTCCGAAATTTTTGCCTAAAAACAATCAAGATCATATAATATTAAAATCTTGTTATAATCAATACTAAAAATTTATTACATAGGGTAATAGTAAATGAATTTTATGTAATAACTGATTATAATAAATGTTTGTCAAAATGCATACCCAGGGCTTTGTGACCGCAAACGGCACAAAACTTAGGCACTCCTCTATCGCTCATACGTTATAATTGTTATGAAATTATGAGTTTTTGATGTAAAATATGATCGTTAGTGCCGGTAATGGATGTCAAGCACTCGTCACTTCAATTAACATCAAAACTTCATATAATATCCATAAAAAGTGGAAATATTAATGTGTTTTTTGCTTAAAATTCTGGTAATCAAATACCAAAACCCAATGCACTTTCACTGCCTGTTTAATATTCTGGTTGACGCGTGAATACCGATTGCAACACAAAAACCAATATCATTTCAAGTGATAAATTACACACACGAGTAGTGCAGATGCACTAATGAATACAAGTTTACCTAGGTTTAATTTTCAAAAAAATATGTTAGTTTACTAAAATAATATACTTTTATTTTTTTATTTCACACAAACACTAACATAAGTGTATATAAAATGTTTGATGAAAACACACCACAAAAACACACATTAATTGTGACGAAAGAGGAGTTTTCTTTCAATTGACGGCTCGTGTCGTGGATTCACAGCTATTGATGATAATAATGCTTATTATCAAAGTTTTTAGGACATTATTTCATTTAATAACTTGTTTTCCCCCCGATGTATAATGTATGTAGCTTATTATCAAGGACACTTTATAATATTCCCCTTTTGATTGCAAATTACCTAATATTTCAGTAAAATATACGTTTAATTTTGTACTTATTTTATATTAATACACAATTCAAAATTATTACAGTATTTGTAAAAATATATCAATGTTTGAATATTAGCTGATAATTATTTAATAATAAATAATGTTGCAAAATGCTTGTGTTTTATTTGTTTTGTTAAAATATCATTTATTATTAATGAAGTTTATTTAGAATATTTTGATATGTTTTATAATTTATTTGTTTGTTTGCACTAAATGTACTCAATTTGCTATTTATTTGTAATTATCTAAAGTTTTATTAAAAATAAAATTGTTGTGACAAATAAAACATATTAATTATAGTTACTGTGGTTTTTGCGATAAACAAACAAATATATGTTTTTAAATCACTTTCTCTTAGAAATTGTTAGAAATTAATTATTTAAAATATTATTTGGGATTTTTATTGTTGAAAAATATCATTAATGAAATGTAAATATTTTTTGCAAACATTATTTTTAGCATAAATAATTAATATATTTCTAGTAAACTTAGAAACAATTATTATTTATTTGCTTATGTGATATTATTCGTAATAAATATATTTTTAATAAACATTTCTTAATAAATGATACAATTTTAGATATTAATATAAATGAAGGTTTGATAATGTCATCAAAAAATCAATATTTAATCTCTATATTTAGATACAAAAAATATATTTATTGATAAATTAATCTTATGAATTATTAATGAAAATGATAACATTTGTGAAAGTATACAGATTTAAACGTTTGATTAAATAAATATGATCATTTTAGGTGCTAATACAATCAGTATATATGCACTTAAACAAAATTGTCTTATAATGATTTGAACATTTAACACACAATTAAATATTTGTTGATTATAATAATACTGGCTATTAATTATAATAATGTCATGTACATAGCAACTTACTGTATATGCCTTTTTATATTCATAAAACATTTAATAAATGTAAAAATATAAAATACAATTAAAAAATAAATTACATATAATAAGCATTGAGGTAATTAACAGACATCTATTTAGCAATCAAACACTAATTGCCAAATGTGTGTATAAAGTAAAGTCTACTTTATATAAAGTCTGCGATAATTATAAGTCATAAATTATAATCACAAAACTGTGAGCATATGTTCAGATGGCTTAGGGATTGGGTCCAGAAGTTCCCGAAGCAGTGGCCCGACCGGTGTCTTGCGTCGGCCGTCGCAGAGCTCCCTCTTCTTGGCTTCGGCTGACATTTTCAGATCATTGACTGCGGTATCCATTAGTCTCAAGAATCGCGACTTTGCCTCACATTCTGTCGGGTATTTTAGTATTAAATAGCGTTGAAGTAAATACATGTATACGTGTTGTTGAGTTCTGGTTGATATAAGTATGTGGTAAAATATTTAAATATATAATTTAAATGTTAGTATTTTAAAATTATTACTTTATTGTATCACGATCCTGTAGATCGCTACGATCCGGGTTAAATAATACGATGGCTATCAACTATGATGTGAATAATTGGAAATATAAATCAAATTATAAAGTACGATGCCAGCCCCTAATGCTTAGCTGGCCCCGTTGGCCTGGTCACCATCTAACGTAATATGAATTATTTGAAATGAGATGTCCTTAAATAGAACTGAAGACAAATCACATCACAAACAACGTTTATAGCATAAATAACGTACAAAAAATGTAATACATTTTTTATTTTTTAAATAACTTTTTTATCTGATATCCGAATTACGAAATTCCTTCAGATCCCTATTCGTCTCATCAAATCCTTTCCATTGATATATAATATGACACATGTATTACTAAAATAAATTTTTAATTAGAGTAAATTTTCCCGATAAAAGTGGCCACTATTCCAGTGGCCACAATATTTTCAAAGACCCCTAACAATGGTCTATCGTTCCCATATTAAATGGTGACCAGGCGAGCGGGGCCAGCGTTAGCATTATGAACGGGCATCGTACTTCATTAATGAATTTAATGATGAAATACGTACCAAATAAAGGACCATATTATCTGAACCCCAGACAGCTGTCAATTTATGCGCAAATTTTATGTAATATTGCATTGAATGTATACAATGTTGTTTAAAATAATCAAAGTTCACTACTCTTAAAGTACCGTTCTGTAAAAGCCAAAATTACAATAAACAAATAAATATGCACATGCACTATTGCAATACAAACCATGGACAAATGAAATGAATTATTAGCTATATTGTAATTACGAAACCCGGTTAAAAATATCATCTCGATACATCCGTGTTTGAGTAGCGATATTTGATCCGATATGGAAATGGCCCGGAAGGCCGATAGGCGGCGAATGGCCCTGGTCGTTTTACGAATAGCGCAATCCAACTTGAGAGTAAAACAGTGCTGAACGTCATCCAAGTCGGTAAACTCGGTGGACAGTTGGCCAGTCTGTACGCCCAGACCGTCAATGGCTGTGAATAGTTCGGAGAGAATACCGGTTTCGGTGCCATTGAATTGACACCGGTATTCATCCGGCGCTCTGGCGATAGGTATGACCGCAAACTCAAACTCAACCGCTTTCTGGATCACCTCTTCGGACACGTCTTCCTCCTCTTTGGCCGACAATGTGTTTGAATTTGTATTTGAATTAAATGCAGAGTTTTGGCTATTTTCGCAGCACTGGTAGCCATTGGGCTGCGACTCCTGGCGCCGGTTGTAGTCCTCGAAACCGTTGGTCACAATGGACTCCAAGTCCAGTATCTGTGCGTTTAGCTCATCGGCGCTGAAATGGCTGTCTTTGTCCAGTATTTCGGTTATAAAATCATTTTCGTCGCACATCTCGTAGGATGTAATGGATGTGTTGGCCGGCGAGTACTCTGTGGCCAACCCTTCACTACCCATACTATTGTCTGTCTGTCTGTGAATTTTGCGTGTTTTTGGTGTTGACTCGTCTTCGGATGGCAACCAATCCTATTAGTTATGATCATTGGGTTTAGATATAGACTTAATTAACCGTAGATCTGATTATTAAATACTCGTCTCATCCCAATTGCCAGACATTTATCTAACCGACACTTTGAGCAAAACTTTCGCGTGATTTCATCGATCTTACAGTTGGAGTTGAAGTGACATTTCAGCTATGATTTCAATATGCAATTAGAAAATCAATATTTAATAATAATAATAAATTAATTAATTAAGATTAATTAAATATTTGTATATTTGTGTTTAAAAATATTTTCATTACGGTATTTCTAAAAGCATTCCGCCTAAAGAACGCCTTACACGGCTCGCATGATAGGGCACCAAAATTATGACCTAGTTTAATAAGTTATATTAATAAAAATATAATAATAATATACATGTATGTGTAGTAATTAACTGTGGAAATGAGCTATGTTATTTATTTTATTTCACTTACCAATAGCTTTATTGCCGCAAACGCCGCATATTTTATGTGTGATTTTAGTTTTTATTTTATACATTATTATTGTTATTAATAATTATTTATTTAATAACAATAGTAATTAATAATTAATTATTTATTAACGTACTCTGTTACCAAATTGTAACTTACAGTATAAAAATAAATGCATTTTACAAATATATAAAAAAATATTATATTTTCACACTTTTAACGTTAACACAGCAATTATTTTTATAAATATTGCCACAAATTCACGTATATAAAATAATTGTCACAAAACTTGAAAACACAACTATAATGCACTAATCAATTATAGTAATAATTTTACACCACATTTGCCCACATAATGTTATACTTTACATAATTGATGTAATATAACATTATATATTAAGAATGTTGAAAGAAAATAATAGTCAAACAATTGATTTTGAAAATTCTAGCAAATCTCAAAAGGACAAAAAATAAATCACAGATAGAAAACAAGATATGTTTCAACAAAAAATATTGTAATATTAAAATAACAGGTAAAAAGAGAGACTAAACCGTGTTGGGTAATAATCAGACAGAGTTTGCGTGCAATTGTTTGCCTTAGATTGAGAGAGAGAGAGAGAGAGAGAGAGAGAACGACAGGTGTTATAGTAAATTGAAGTCTATTTTATTTCAATGTTTTAAATGCTATTGGTAATATTTTTGTCACAAACCAAGGCCTTGGTATTTAAATAAAATAAATGTCCCTTTAATTGATCTTAATAACTACCTTTAACTACCTCTTTCATTATGCATTTGTGCGACACATTGTACTGATATTTTAGGAAATTAAGTACAATTATACTTTTAGAACTTGGTTTTTATTTAAATTTGCTGATCAAATGCAACAACATTTCTATTTAATAAATTAATTTAACGACTAATTAATTACAATTTTTATTATTAACAAACTGTAGTAAAAAATCCTTATAGAAATTATCTAGGCACTAAATTGTAGGACAACATGTTTAACTATTGTATAATTATTTTAATACTACTGTATGAATACAATATTATTGATAATGTACTGCATTAAACGCGAATGATTAGAGTAACAAAAATAATTTTCTCATTTTCAAGGAATTTCTTTATGTTTAAAATATATTTTAGTGTATTTATGTAAACATAAAATGTATTTTAAACGCTAAATAGAGTTATTGAAAATTATTTGTTTTTAATAAACAAATATTTATTCGTAGTGTTTGCTAACAAGTAAGTATATTAATTATTTGTCTTTAAGGTAGTCTCTCTCTCTCTCTCTCTCCCTCTCTCTCTCTCTCCCTCTCTCTCCACACAATTTATAATTTTTGTCAAACACTTAAAAATATTTAAAAAAACAATTTTTGAATAGATATAAAAGGCCCAAACATTCTAAACAATATTGACATGTAATTGGTTTGTGACAAAAATATTACCAATAGCATTTAAAACATTGAAATAAAATAGACTTCAATTTACTATAACACCTGTCGTTCTCTCTCTCTCCCTCTCTCTCCACACAATTTATAATTTTTGTCAAACACTTAAAAATATTTAAAAAAACAATTTTTGAATAGATATAAAAGGCCCAAACATTCTAAACAATATTGACATGTATTTCGCAATTTACTTAATAAATAATTTTATTAAATATAATTAAATAATAAATAATAGCGACTATTAATTAAAACATTTGATGGAAATAATAATATCAGCGAAAATTATTCTGAGAACATTGAGGTTGTTTCCTAACTCGTAAGAATATTATTATCATCTTGCTCACTTGATTTATAAATTGTATTATTCAATTAGTACTGGTGCACTAAATTATCAAGTGCAATTTAGCATGTATGCAACAACATGTTAATTTAGGCAAAATTTGAATTTAATTCTAGTTAAACTTATGAATCATAAGTTATGATAGATATTTTTGTTATGCATTTATGAGTAATTAAAAATAAACTTATTAAGTGTTTATTATATTTTATTATTATACAATTAATTATCACATCAAATACAATCGATTACAACAAAACAATATACCGTAAAACAATTAAATTTAGGTTGCAATTTCATCAAGATCATAGATCTCCCTAAGAAGTGGTGATACAATTAGCTGTCGTTGGGTTATAAAAGTGATGATCTCTTTCCTCTGCACTTCTCTAATGGCATTCAATTCATTCAATGTATTCATCAGTTGTAGGAATCGTGTCTTCGCAGAGCATTCCGACCCGTATTTTAGTATTAAATAGCGTTGAAGTAAATACATGTATACGTGTTGTTGGAGTCTATCATTTGGGGGTTAAGTTACTTATTATTTAGTAATAATTATATTTAAAATTTTAGTTGAATTAAAAACACATACTTGATAGCGTCCCGGTTTACCAAATCAAAGTTACCAGGGTTAAATACAATTATAGACATCATCTAAGCAAGTATATAAATATAGAAAACATTAAATACAATTTATAATAATTAATAGTTAATTATTAATTATTATTGCATTACTATTAATACCAAATTAATTATAACATAATCCGAGTCCCAAATAAGACCAATGTTTTGCACAAAGTCTTTGTAAGCGCTGTAAGAGTTTTTAGCGCAATATTTAAGAAAATCCAATTTAAGCGATACCGTTAAGTCTGTGGGCTATGAATATAATTACACATGATAAAATTTAATAAAAATATACAAGGTAAAACAACAGAAAATAGCACAAACTGTGGGCACGACCAAGAGCTGTTGGGCGTAATCGTAGCGAATGATCGATCGCCAGTATAGCACCTGAATGCAGCCGTGTTTGAGTAGCGCGATTTGATCGGGCTCGCACATATTTCTGAACGTGCTTAGTCTCTTAATGCACCTGGTCACTTCTCGTATATGGGTGTCAAATATAAAGTCAATCGCGTGGCCAAACTCGCAGTAATTGGTTATCTCTATGGGATGTTCATTGGGTGTCAATTGCATGGCTTTGGCGGTAGTCATCAATTCGGACAGTATTTGCATTTCGGTCGCATTGAAAGCCGACTTGTATTCAGTGACCGGTCGGGCGATTGGTATCACCGATAACTCAAACTCGACCGACATTTGCAGCTTATTATCGATGTATTTATTGATATCTTTATTACTTAGGATTGAGTTCAGCTCTTCGTCAATGGTTTTCGGGTCTAATTCAGTAATTGTTACGCTATTTGTGTTCAATTTGGTGACAGAACTGATCCCGATGTCCATAATTATTTGATCTAGTTCATTCATATAATTCTTATTACTGTTTATGTCACACATTAAATCACTATATTCTTGATGTGTGTATATATCTTGAGATCCTACTTGAGGTGTTGACACATTCATTGAAATTAATGTGTGACTATTTTTTATACGTTTGGTTTTATTATAATCAGTGTTATTATCTGGTAAGCCATAGCCTTCTTCCCCTTTCATCCAATCCTTTAATTATAGTTTTAATTAAACTATAATTTTTTTAATTAATTATAATGTATTAATCAATACCCGTCTCATTCCGATGGCCAGACATTTATCTAAACGACATTTTGAGCAAAACTTTCTCGACTTCTCATCAATAATACAGTTTTCGTAATACAAACACTTGAGCTATAAATTGATAAATTAATGCCAGTAAGTAATTAATATTATAAAATAACCATGCTATTGTATTAATGTAATTTACATCTAGTTTATGAGCGTTTCGTCGGAAAAATGTCTTGCATGGTTCGCACGATAGGGCACCGAAATTGTTGGCTAAAACATAATGGTGGTAATTTTAGTTTAATTTTATTTATAATTAAAATAATTAACTAAACATTAAATACTTTAACATATTATGCACTCACCAATAGCTTTATCTCCACAAACGCCACATATTTTAATCGGTTTAATGTAGTCATTCATTTTAACGTATTATAAATAACTATGTCAATTTAGGTAATTGTAAATAACCAACCTCTATGTTAACTTTTATGAAAAATTAATTGACAAAAATGTAATAATCATTAAATTAAACATAAAATTTATTAGAAATGACACATTCCATGTAGACCATGTTTGTTGTTTATAATGCGTTTAATCTAGATAAATATTATCTCATCAAACATAACTGATAAACTTCAATACGTTTACACAACTAATAACTTAATATTCTGTAAATCCATTCATTTTATTTCTCCACATAAAATGTTTAATATTGTTAGAAATGCTCTTTAAAATAATATTACCAACCATTTCTGTTTAAATTAAATTAATCAACAAAAATACAGTATAATTATTGTTTTATTAATATTATATGGACAAAAACGTGTTAAAACAAGATTAATCAACAAAATACTGTAGTTATAAAAGACCTGAACTACAGTTTAGCTTAAATTAACATTTGATAAATTCAATAATATTTTGATTTATATTTTATTAATTTTTACATTAAACCTAAACTTATGGCATAGTATTAGTATTTTATATTTTTCAATAACAATAATAAGAAAATTACTGCAAATTATCAATTATATTACATCAGTAAATGGGATAACTAGAGTGTTTATTTTTTGGGAGTGCAAACACCATGATGATCTTATTTTGAGCCTATTATGACCATCAAAGTTAATAGCCTGTAAATCTCGATAAGTTTATTAACTAGTTTTATTCGCGACTTTCCGAAGAATAGTCGCCCTAGTGATTACATGATAATTTCACTGATGAGAGATGCAATATGTTGAAATTGTGGTTGAATATGACCACGTACAATTACGGCCATGTTTTGCTTCTGTATTATTCCCATTGTTTTAATGTCTTGCAATGTATTCATTAGTCTCAAGAATCTAGTCTTAGACTCGCATTCTGTGATGTATTTAATGGCCAAATATCTCTTCAGTAAATGCATGTAAATGTTTTGCTGAAGTCTGGGAACAGTATAACAATTGTCAATATTATTACTTAATCATTGCGATTATAATTAATATTAAATTACTTGATAACCTCCTTGTGTACGAGATAATCGTTATCCGGATTAAACAACACAATCGCTGATAACTATTTATTAAAATAAATTTATAAAATCAACACACCTTACACTATCAAGTAAGTTTTTCTTACCAGATCTAAAATAACCTTATCCGAGTCCATAATGAGCAACATTTTATTATAAAAACCCATAAGTATTCCGAACACATTTCCATTCTTATCTTTCAAACAATCGGTTTTTATAACCACCGACTTATGGGTTCCCTGTAATTGAAATCTATATTAAACACAATGTTTGCAAACAATTGTATCAATTCAAATAGGGTTTGGCATTAAGTTTTTTAAAGTTATTGTTATAAAACTAATTGTTGTAACTCATATTTTTACAGACATTCAAATACAGTATATAAAGTAAAGTAAGTTAGACTTTATATATATTTGAGTTACTTTAGTTAGATTCTTTTATAATGTAAGTATTAAAAGTAAGGAATTATTATTTTCACAGGAAAAGCATAAATTCCAGTGAATTTGAGCCGAACGGTCCTACAAAACCACATAATTCTTATAGCATAGTGGTTAAAATGGAAATATCCTATAGACCCAACATAGAAATAGTAGAACTTTCCTTAATATTTTAATTTCCCATAGGAATAATGTCAATAGAATTAACATTGCCTATTGTAAGTATAGCCATGGGAATACCATGCAATCCCATGTTATTTTTTATAGGAGGAGGCCCCGACTAAATCTATAAACCTCAATTATCATTCTGAATTAAGAGAGAGAGAGAGAGAGAGAGAGAGAGAGAGAGAAAATAAAAATGACCATGGGTAAAGTATAATTATCAGTGGCGGCGTTGTAGTACACAATAGACCGCAAATACATCAATTCAAACGAGCTATTCTTGAGGAGAGCGATGCGATCGGATTCGCACAACCCTTGAAACGATTGCAAGTCTTTCAAAACAGCGACAATATTGCGGACCGTTTTCTCTAATATATGGCCAAACATTGTCTGACCAAACAGTGGATCGGAAAGTGTAGCCGTCTCGATGTTTGTCGATATATTTAACTTAAACAATTGTGCGGTACTTATCCACCGCTCGAGTACTTTGCACTCGGAGTCGTTCATACGGTTACTGTCGGTCGGCAGTGGTCTGGCGATAGGTATGACCGACAGCTCAAACTGTGCCAACTTTCTGAACACATCGTCCGATATGTCACTGTTATCGATCACAAGCGAGTAATCCGTATTGTTATTGCCGTCAATGGAGCCGATCTTCATTAGTTGTTGATCACCGGTTGGGATCAGTTGTTCGCCAGAGTCGACCGCATAGTCTAAGTCTAAGTCTAACTCGTTGTTTGCATCGATAGTTGAAATCGTGGTAAACATGTGGTCAGTATTATTGGTTGTTTCGCTGTATTGTGAGTAAAATGATGTCATTGTCTCGTCTGAAGAGGCGGTGCCCGACGACGAGGGATGGGGTGTCGGCGGTGTGGCTATGGTTTGGTCGCTACCCTTCAGTGCCATACGTTTGGCCTCTACTTTCATGCGCCGGATGTGTCTCTCCTCGTCATTCAATATGTATTCCTTGTGTTATAAAAATAGTGATTAATTTATAAAATAATAATTATCATGGTCATAAACTTTACCTCCTTCATGCCAATAGCGAAGCATTTGGTGAGCCGACACTTTTGACAAAACTTCCTAGTTAATATGTTGATTGAACACATCCCCTCATCTCTACATTCAAACTATTAATTATGGTAAGAATATTCTTTAAATATCATATCTATTGATAATAATATTTTATAATTAGTAATAAATACAGTGTTTTTCAACGCGTTTCGTCTAAAAAATGCTTTACACGGCTCACAAGAAATTGCACCAAAATTTTTGCCTAAATGTATAGACAATAATTAAATTGTTGTTTTGATTATGTCATTAATTTCTTACCAATCGCTTTATGGCCACAAACACCGCATACCTTCGGTTCGCGAATTTTTTGCTTTGATTTAAATTCAGTCATATTTTCCCATAAGAAGTACAGAAGAACTGTATTATACGACAGTTGCACCTAATATGCACTCAATCCATATCATTGAGGTTTACACAGTTTAAAGTTAAAATGTTTTTTGAAAAATAATAACACAATAATAAAATTAAACAGATTTTCAAATACTATCTAAATAAAAATATGTTGTGATAATTATGTTGGTTATTATACTATTGCACAATAAAATCAATACATTGTGGTGTGTTTATATAATATTAAGGTAAATCAGCAAATGTTCTACAACAAAAACAGATACAAATACAGAATGTATATTAAATTCAATTCAACTAAACTAACGAGCATTAAAATTATCATTTGTTACACAAAACCTGTATTTTAGGCACGAATTTTAAAGTATAAAAACCAGTTTATAGATCATAATAAGACCTATCCATCAATATATCACATGATATATCAACTCAAGCCTTAACAATAGTAAATTGAGCTTAAATTAGTACAAAACACTTAATTAGCATGTTACGATTGACTAATTCGTTATTAGATATCACCTATAATTCAAACTCTACCGATATTTTTGGCATTTTGTTAACATAATTGCTGTAATAGACGTCACATTTATTAATAGTAAAACATTCAATAATATTGTGATTTATTTTATATTTAATTAACATATATTGCATAAATTCATTTCATGCCAAACATTATTACAATCATCATTTATTATTTATAAAATTCTTAATGATATTATTATGGCCTTCAGGAAAGTTAATGCTAATTAATTTTTTGAAATGAGAATTGAATTTGATCATGCACAACTTATAATATGTGAAATGATATTATCATGTTAATTGCAACATACAAGAATAAAATCAATATATTATGTAATTTTTCTTATATTATGTTTATAATATTAAGTTGCAAAAATACAGAATTTGCAGTTAATTCAATTAATTAAACAAGGTAACGTCAATAATATCAAATATTTTTAAATAATAATAATTACTTAAATAAAAAAATTATTGATATATTTAAAGACATTCAATAATATATTATTTTAATTATTTTTATATACATTTATTGAGTAATTTTTTCAATCAAAACATTTATGAGAATATTTAATGGAAATCAATAAAACGCCTAACAATAACACAATGGGACGACTGATTACATGATAATTTCTTTGACGAGGGATACAATCGGTTGAAACAGTGGTAAAATATGACCATGCACAATTCCGGTCATGTTTTCCTTTTGCATTCTTCCCAATTGGTTAATGTCTTGCAATGTATTCATTAGTCTCAAGAATCTAGTCTTAGACTCGCATTCTGTGATACATTTAATGGCCAAATATCTCTTCAGTAAATGCATGTAAATGTTTTGCTGAAGTCTATTAACAGTATAATAATTGTAAATATTATTACTTAATCATTGCCATTATTTAATATTAAATTACTTGATGACATCCTTGTGTTCAAGATTATGGTTATTCGGATTAAACAACACAATCGCTGATAACTATTTACATAAACAAATTTATAAATAAACACTTTAGTATACAGTTTAATACACAAATAAGTTTTTCTTACCAGATCTAAAATAACATTATCCGAGTCCATAATAGGCAACATTTTATTATAATAGCTCATAAGTATTTCGTACACATTTGGATGAACTTGTTTCAATTGGTTTGTTTTTAGAATTACTGAGTTATGGGTTCCCTGTAATTAAAACTTATATTAAAAACACGGTTCGCAAACCAATGCTATAAATTAACATTAATTAGGAATTGGCAAAATATTTTTCAATGTTATTGTTATGAAACCCATTCTTGTAACACTGAGAATGTTAATTTTTTAAGCATTCAAATATATAGTTAGATTAATTTATAATGTTAGTATAAAAGCACTATTTCTAATGAAATGGGGCCAAAGGGTTCTATCAATCACATAATTCTTATAGAATTGTAAATAAAAAGGCAAAATCCCATAGACTTAACATCGAAATAGTAAAACTGACCATGGGTAGAGTGAAATAGTCATCCGCGGGGTTGTAGTTAATAATAGACCGCAAATTCATGATTTCAAACAAGCTATTCTTGAGGAGAGCAATGCGATCGGATTCGCACAACCGTTGAAACGATGGCAAGTATTTCACAACATCGACAATATTGCGGACCTGTGTTTCAAATATGTGGCCAAACATTTTCATACCAAACAGTGGATCGGTAAGTGTGGCCGTCTCGGTGTCCGACGATATATTGATGGCAAACTTTTGTGCGGCGCTTAACCACTGCTGGAGTACTTTGCACTCGGAGTCGTTCATACGGTTACTGTCGGCCGGCAGTGGTCTGGCGATAGGTATGATCGACAGCTCAAACTGTGCCAACTTGTGGTACACAGCATCCGATATGTCGTTGCTATTAATGACAAGCGAGTTATCGGTATAATTATTTCTATTGCCATCATTATTGTTAGTCCCGATCTTCATTAGTTGTTGATCACCGGTTGGGATCAATTGCACGCCAAAGCCGACCGCATGGTCTAAGTCTAAGTCTAACTCATTGTTTGCATCAATATTTAAATTCGTGGCAAACATGTCGTCAGTATTATTGGTTGTTTTGTTATTGGTGTCCGATTGCGACGACGACGAGGGCTGGGATGCCGGCGGTGTGTCTATGGTTTGGTCGCTACCCTTCAATGCCATACGTTTGGCCTCTACTTTCATGCGCCGGATGTGTCTCTCCTCGTCATTCAATATGTATTCCTTGTGTTATATAATATAGTAATTAACTTATAAAAGAATATCTTACATGATAATAAATTTGTGTAAATATAAAACTACCTCGTTCATACCGATAGCTAAGCATTTGGTGAGCCGACACTTTTGACAAAACTTCCTAGTTAATATGTTGATCGAACACATTCCTTCATAGTTACATTCAAACTATTAATTATGGTAAGAATATTTTTAAAACTTATTATTAAATATGATATGTATTGATAATAATACTATAATTTTATAATTAGTAATAAATACAGTGTTTTTCAACGCGTTTCTTCTAAAAAATGCTTTACACGGTTCACAAGAAATTGCACCAAAATTTTTGCCTAAATTAATAAACAATAATTAAATTGTTGTTATGATTATGTAATTAATTACTTACCAATCGCTTTATGGCCACAAACACCGCATACCTTCTGTTCGCGAATTTTTTGCTTTGATTTAAATTCAGTCATATTTTCCCATAAGAAGTATTATACGAGAGTTGCACCTAATATGCACTCAATCCATATCATTGAAGTTTACTGTACATAGTATTAAAGTTTAAATGTTTTTAAAAAATAAATATAAATATAATAATAAAATTGAACACATTTTTAAATACATTTTAAATAAAAATATGTTGTGATAATTATGTTGGTTGCACAATACATTATGGTGTGTCAATACATTAAGATAAATCAGCAAATGTTGCACAACAAAAACAGATACAAATACAGAATGTGTATTAAATTAAATTCAACTAAACTAATGAGCATTAAAATTGTCGTTTGTTACACAAAACCTGTATTTTAGGCTCGAATTTTAAAGTATAAAAACAAGTTTATAGATCATGATAAGATCGTTCCATCAATATATCACATAATATATCAACTCAGGCCTCAACAATAGTAAATTGAGCTTAATTTAGCACAGCTTAATTAGCCTGTTACGATTTACCAATTTGCTATTAGATATCACCGATAATTTACTCTCTACTACCAAAATTTTTGGCAATTTGTTAAAATATTTGCTGTAATATACTTCACATTTTATTAACATTAAAACATTCAATAAGATTGTGATTTATTTTATTTTTAATTATACATATATTGCATAAATTTATTTTATGCCAAACATTATAACAGTAATAATATATTATTTATAGAATTCTTAAAGATATCTTCATAGCCTTCAGGAAAGCTGATGCTAATTGGTTTCTTAAAATGAGAATTGAATTTGATCATGCACAACTTATAACATTTGAAATTATATTATCATGTTAGTTGCAACATACAATACTAAAATCAATATATTATGTTATGTTTATATACCATTAGAATAAATCATAAACTATTTACAACTATAAATATAAATACAGAATTTGCAGTTAATTCAATTAATTGAACAAGGTAACGTCAAAAATTTCAAATACTTTTGAATGTCAATGAGTTTTATTTTGGTTTTGTTATTTATGTGACAATTGTGTGAATGAGTATTTAATTATTGACAAAATTAAAAATAAAATACTTTATTAGAATAAATTATATTTAATAAAATATTTTACTAAAAATCAAATTTAATTAATTCAAAAAACATAATATAATAATTACTTAAATAACAAACAAAAATAAATTATTGATATATTTAAAGACATTCAATAATATATTGAATTATTTTTATATACATTTATTGAGTAAATTTTTTGAATCAAAGCATTTATGAGAATATTTTATAAAAATTAATATAAACACAATGGGATGACTGATTACATGATAATTTCTCTGATGAGGGGGAATACATATGGGGTTGGAATTTCAGCAAAAGTCTCCGTGGTGTTTTCCCTCTGTATTTTGCCCAATAGACTAATGTCTTGCAATGTATTCATTAGTCGCAAGAATCTAGTCTTAGACTCGCATTCATTAC